AAGGAATGGGCTTCTGCCATTGAGATTTTGACGCGTACTGGCGACGCATCGGACACTGTGCATTCCATTCGTGCCGCAATCGACAAGGTCATGAAGTCGGCCGCCGCCGAGCTTGCTGAAGAGCATCAAGATGCGGAAGGCGACGAGGCTTTGCTTGGAGATAGCCCCGTCGAGATGTAGGACACGGTAACTGAACGATGAGCACAAACTCGAATGAACACGAACACAACTCTACTGTTTATTCATTGGCATATGAGGTCGAAGTTGCGACTGTGTCTTCAGCTTCTCGACGATTCCTTCGCGAACAAAACTTTTCGTTGCGCCTGCGTCAGCCAAGTCGCTTGCATCGTATGCAAGAATATCAGTCAGCGAAAACGATCCTACCAGTTCTCCGAGAGAAGAGATTTCGTGGCCAACAGGGTTCACTGTAGTCTTCAATCTCGCGTTCACCACGAAGTTGTGCAAGACAGCTGCACAGTGAATCAAAAGCGTGGCATTCTCCAGTTTCACAGACAGCGGTGACTTGAATAGCCGCCACTTGTTCACTAACAGGCCGAAAGCCATTTCCACCCGGATACGGACTTGAGAAACGTGAAAATTAAACGAGTCGCGGTAGATATTGTCCCCAATCTGAGGTCGCGTGTACGGCGTTAGAAGATGATTGGTAGCCATGTACGCGTTATCTGCTACAACGTAGAGGCCTCGCTCTAGTCCTTCAACGAGCCGGGGAAGCCGTGATTCACGGTACGCCTTCACATCGTTAGAGCCGCCAGGATTACTGGAATTGATATACGTAAAGCGACAGTAGTGATCACACACGGCCTGAACATTGATACCCATGGTACCATAGTGACCACTAAAATACGCACGAACACCTGCTCCGGGGTCTTCGCCTTCAGCCACTTGGTCAACCTTTCTCGTCGGAGGAGTGACAATGCTGCACAGCCAGCAGTCCATTGCACCAATGCACCCGCTAATAATTCCTCCCGAGCTTACAACCTTGAACCCACGAGCAATAGATTCTCGCTCGGTAGACGACATGGGCCAACGGATGCTCAATTCCGTCAAGGCAACAATAGCTCTTGAAGTGTCGTAGAGTACGCGATAGAACGATGTCAAGCTCACTCCTCCAATACGTCGAATGTCAATCACAGCGCCTCCAGCCATGTAGCGAAGAAGCATTTGCAGTCGATTTGGCACCGTAATTGCTCCTCGGTACTTCCATGTACGCGGATTTAGACACAGTTCTAGCGAGACCATTCTACACAGCTTGTCGAATGCTCCTGGACTCATGCGAAAGCACCTAGAAAACTGCCCTTCTCGTAAAAGCCGCTCCTTCTCGAGAGTCCACAGCAGTCGACTGCGTACGAACTGCTCCTGTCGGCTGCCATCCTCGTCAACGATTGCCACCGCTAGTAGTGCCAGCAGAGAGGCGTCCCGCTGAGGACCGATGAAAACCATCGGCGCTTTTTGGTTTAGACGTGACTGGTCAAGGAGGGTGGAGATGTCGCCCACCCTCGCTTTGCAGCTACCCTGCAGTTTTGCCCAGCCGCTCACTTGTCTAGGGGTTGGGTGGCCCTGTGGCCCTGTACTGCAGTTTTCTAAATAAGAACGCGCCTCAGCCACAGTCAAAATGAGCTACCTTTCCGGTAATTATTCGTAGATCTCTTCGCTAAACTTTTCGTACAGAAATGGTGAGCTGACGCCAGGCTGTTTAATCTTGAATCCGTCAGCTGTCACTTCGCCAGCTCCGCACGGATCGAATAAAGGTAACACCGCGACTTACAGCTTCATCGCACTTGCCACTTTAAGGTACGCTGTCTCGTCAATGTGATGTGATTGCGATCAAGTAATCATAGGATGTATTGGGCCACACGGCGTGATTGCATCTGTACTAAGAAGCAGTGCCAAGTGCCAACGCATGTCCAGAGACTCACCGAATAACGCTAGCTTGAGATCCATTTTCTTGAGCTTGTCCACACGAACAGCGAGCTTCTTACCGGGCTTCATCACGAAGCTGTACCACTTCTTGGAAGCGAGGGGCCGGTTCTAGAAGGACCTCTCATTTAAGTGCTTCTTGAACAACGTCGACGCCTCCGCCACCGTAAACGTCGGGCCGGTGTAGACTCGGTATATAAGACTCACATCTCCTGTGATCACACAAGGGCCTTCAAATCCTTGGTCTTCCGTTCAATGCAATCGCTTATTCAAAATTTGGCTTAAAAATTTAGAAGGCCGAGCATCATCCGCATGGTGAACTCCCAGTGGCATTATTTTTTTCACGAACTTATCAATTCGACGTAGCTTAGGATCAAATCCGATTGAGAGTTTGCGAATGAAGAATTATAATCATGGTGAGCAGATGCATAGAAATTTGAATGTGAGATTGATTGAGGTGAATGTTTTGCCGATTGCAGGTAGTACGGACGATATCGACTCTGGGAAAGAAGTGTCGATTGAAAAAGCTAGGGAGAGTTTAGCATATTCTCTCTATGGATGCAAAGTTTGTACAGGGTGAAGGTTTGTGTATCTCGCAGACAGCGTGTATTGATCGGTAGGAGAGAATGCGTCCTACTAGAAGTCCTAAAGTGTCCTATTGTCCTAAAACCTGGGATAAAAAACTAGCAATTCGGCTCATAAACAAACCCATATTTAGGACAACACAATGAGTTTTAGGACGAAACAAGCCAGGGTCCGCGTGTCCTAATAGGACACTCGACAACTGGACACTCAGTCTGTCCTATTAGGACAGACTGCAACTCAGACCACTGTCCTATTAGGACAACACCAAGCCCAACATGCACTGTCCTCAAGACATATCCTCAACTGGCCTAGCTAGAAACAATAAAAATCTTAAAGCCCCTCTCTCCAAGAGCAGCCGATTCTTTGTTGTGCGCGAAAAGCACCTCAACAAAACTTCTCTACTACAAAGTGTGTGACAATATTTTTAAAGTGTTTCAAAGGATGATAGTCATTGAAGGTAATAATAGCCGCTAATAACGGTTGAGCGACTTCAACATGCACATAGCAAACGACGGTTAATAATCAGAACGTGACGACATAGGGGGGGCTCAAAAAGCAGCAAAGTACTCGCAAGGGCTACTTGGCTGCAAGTCGATCCGAAGACGCGGTTAGCAAGCGATGGGGGTCTTGGTTAGCGCGGCGGTGTGCTCGGCCTGGTTCGTCGAGTTGTCTGGCGTCGTCGGGGTGTCGACAACAGGTGCGTTTGTGGCAGGCGAGTCCGGGCTGGGAGCCGACGTCGATGGGCAGTTGGACGGCACGTAGACTACCAGGTCGGCCTTCAGGTTGGAACCGACACCGACCGGCAGTTGGCACTCCTCCAGGTTCATGGCCTTCACGTCAGCGAGCAGGGTGTTGCAGGCAGTCGAGGCGCACATCTTGTCAATGGTGGCCTGGTCCGGGATCTCAGTGGTCCGTGCCGCACTGTTGAATGTTCGCGCTCGTGAGCAGAGCGGACAAGACACTGCTTCCGCAGGTGGCAGCAGAGGCCAGATAGGCGAGCGCCCTAGCTGCAGAAGGAGTAGCCGCAATGGTCCATGATGCTTGGCTGCAGTAGTGGAGATTCAGAAATGGTTGGTGTGCCCCAGGACAATAAGTAAAGCCAATGTGAGTTTTAAGTAACTCTACGTAAATTTACGTAGATAGTCCGGAAAAAGTTAATATTTGAGGTTTAGGACAATCTGGAGGACACAAATTATAATATTCTGTAACGAAGGATTAGTCGCTTTTTAGGACACATCTCCAAAATCTCCCTGTAAAATTTAGGACAAATAGGACAGTTTAGGACGTGTCTTAGGACGCATTATCCTACACCGTATTGATCAGGTACTGAAACGCTTCGGAATAAGTACAGCTCACTCTGTCGGATCACCAATGATGCAGAACGAAAGACTGCCAGCAATGGAATCTGATCCTAAAAAGTCGATGATTCGAATACTCCGTTTCGAGAGTTGACTGGCGCGCTGCAGTACCTTGTGATATGCACGCGGACTGATCTGGCAAATAGAGTAAGAAGTATTGAAATGCATACACGAAAGAGAGCTATTTGTGTCCTACAATACCTGTTCGGCACTCGGACTTACCACTCTGGTCCATTTCAGAATCTACAGCTCCGTTTTCAAGCCATTATATCTCCCAGACATTTGAGGCGAGTCCAAAAAATGTGATTTATTGTGCCAAAGCATCTCCTGCTTCTGCTTCGTAGCCGCAGCATCTGTCGTGCCGAAGACACTCATTGAAAAATTATTTTAAGCAATTTTCAATGTACTTTAATGAAATGAACTCGACGATGATAGTAAAAACGTACCATATAACTATTGCCTAAAATATAAAAATACTACGTCTTTATAACTAATTTGCAAATTTTAGGTATATACAGAATAAAATTTGCTTTCCCGAACCATACAGACCACGACGGTGAAATCAGCCATACCGCCCGAGTCCATGGTTTCCCAATAATGAAACCAGTTTCAGCCAATCCGTATGCCGTATTTGGAGGATGTGTTGTTTCCTAGATAGGCTTTGTAGATTTTGGAATCGTTTTGGTCTTTGTGTCCAGACTTTGAGCACAATTAACCAATCAAATAACTGGGCGGGTATTCCTGTCGCGCGTACTAGTTTAATTTATATGAAGGATAGTGTTCAGATAACGGGCGGATTTCACCGTCGTTGTCTGTAGTTGAGACGGCAATGTCATTAGTAAAAAAAGCATCATACGTAATATTACAACGCGCAATGATTTATATAATAATACTAACCTTTTCTAGCAATGCTTACTACGAAGTTCGTAATCATTTATTAGTATCGCAATCGGGCTCGTGGTCTCACATCTTGTTCCAACGTGACTAATCAGCGTATCTTGTAACTATTAATTGTGTACTGCAAGTATGCAAACTCGCCATCGGATTTGACCTAGCAAGAATTGATTCTGAACCATTCCTCATTTTTCGGTCTAGCGCTATACCTGCTCACTACCTCCGATGCGTGTGCGATTCATTCTGTGTGCTGTCCCAACAATTATCGCTGGATTTGTCAATGGTATCTCGACTGCAGGCACTGTCGACCTTGACATGCTCGCATCTCCACATGACGTCGTCCAAAATTCTGCTGCTGCTGTTGACCATGCCACCAACAACGCTCACCGACTACTGAGAAAACATGAACCCACCCACGATGGTGCCGAGCTGGAAAAATATTCAGGAAATGAAGAGAGAGATCTTTGGGGAGCATTTAAAGGATTGTTGAGCAGATAAAAAGTGCATGGATCGTCGGGAAAGTTGATGACGCGATTCGAGATATGCCCGCGTTCAAGAGACTGGGACAAGCAGACCGCATTGATGATGCGATAGACACAATGCTCGCCCGTAAAACCATCGATGAAGTTTCTGATGACATGACACGGCTGATGTCGACGTTCCAGGCGATGGATGAACAGGGATTCACGCCAAACGAAGTGAAAAGCTTTATCGCGGACAAGAAGGTGGTCGTGACACCAGAAGAAGCCCATTACGTCGAGACTTTATTCGCTGCGTACTGGAAGGCAACCCACGGCGGATAGAGATTGGATGAGGCAGTGGGGGGTGTCATAAACATGGAGGTGGAGAAGCATTAGCAGGCAGACTTTTCACCTAGTTGGACTTTCAGTTTTCGTTTCGTATACCTCTATGGAGCTCCACTTACTGAAAATGATCTTGAGTAACTGAGAATGAGTTTCACTTGGCACACGCAACGTGCTTCTAGAATGAGGTTAATCCGTGCCGTGATGACGCTTTGTACGATGATGAAGCTCTCCCGCATAAGGCAACAAAAAATTTAACTTGCATTTATCTTCCACACAGTCTTCGCTGGTTCACATGAAATTGGGCGTGGTATCAAAAGTTTGTCGAAGTTCGGGTAGCATTTTCAAAAATTCATCGCTTTTTTTTCAGTGTGACCACCTGAATTGGATGCGAAGTTCAAGCGTCACAGCTTCACTAAGTGCGATTCTCAATGTTTGCTAATCGTAAAACTAAAAGCGGAATTGCAATTGATAAATAGACACTAGACATGCAGTTGCATTCGCATAGTGATTGGACAATATAGCTTGTTAGACTTAACCTATTTTTCGATGTTTCTTTCGTGAACCAAAAATGTTGTAGGCTTTTCAACAATTTGCATTCCATTCATAAAATAGTATCATCTTTGAATGAGCAACACTGTGCCATCACTACAAGTGGTGTTAGCAAATCATAAAGGACCAGTCCTTTTCCGATCGAGTGCTTCAGGTTCTGCGAGGGTTTAGAGGGAAGAAACAATGGAGCTCGAGCTTAGGGAGCTCGAGGTACCCAAAATTAGAATTAGGGAGAATGTGGTGTACCCAAGTTCATTTTGAGTTTAAACATCGACTTGCCAGGTTACTTTGTTGCTTGCGTAATTGAGCTGCCACAATCGTATTACAATATACCTATCAGTACAACTGCATTTTTTGCACGTCAGATATGGCAGTGTTTATTACAAGAAGTTCTCCTTTGTCGAAGCTTCCCCACAGCCATCACTAAATCGTACTAGTCACTACTCTTTTTTAAAGTCAGTCATTTAGCTGTCCTAACGACCATGCAAATACTAGCCACTACTCCAAAGCCGGTAAAAAAAAATACTTTTTCTGGCGGCATGAACTCCATTTATTTATTTAATGAGTTTGGGAGGTAGACTATTTTAGAAAATGCACTACGCTTCGACTCGATGCTGCAGCAGCGTTGTATACCAGACCTGCTCTCAGCATAAATGCCCCTCCTCGCCCACGGACACCTTCGTAGATTTAGAGAAAACTAGAGCGGTCTCTTGTTCGCTCTCCTGATATTTTGTGTATTTTACCAGTCTATTCGGGCTTGCAGCATTTGCTACGTACTTGATGAGTAATGGGGGTAGTCGGACCATTTTTCTTCAGAGGTAAGTGGATGAACGTGATAATGCTATCTACCAGTGCTGTTGCTGTGGTTGACAAAGGAATAATCCTGACAGATACATGTATCTCTTAACATTATTCTCTGAGCAAATCATATTTGCGATTTTTTTTTATCTAAATGGAAAGCTCAAGATTGCCTACAAACCTCCAGGTATACACGAACAAAGCGCAAAAAATCTTAAGGCGTTCCGCCGAAAGCTAAGAAGCTCATTTATAGCGCACTATTAAAGCTTAATGGCTACTTGTAATTCAGCGAAACTCAACACTACACGGTTAAGTTTTCATGTGTCCACGTACTATTTGTTGGTCTAGATCGCATTTATAAATGCTCTAGAGTCGGCAATTGTCACCTCATGGCGGGTGATCGATGTATCACTCTACTTTAAGCCACCGACTGGCGTAACATGGCTACGTGGTATATTAGAATACACCACCGCTGTTATCCTTTTGAGCGAGGCAGATTGCATTCTCCTGGCCCAGTTAACGACATTTGCAATTTAATGAGTCTACAGGCTGTAGTACCTTTGGATCATTTTTTGGGTACACCACATTATCCCTATTTTTAATTTTGGGTACCTCGAGCTCCCTAAGCTCGAGCTCCACATTTTTCCCGTCTAGAGCTTGAATCTTAGCTCATAGAAGAACGGTACTGGCGTTGTTGTAAATAATTGGTCCAATACATACTGTATTGTCAAGGTCAACTACCAAAAATAAAAACATAAATTGCAAAACCCAATAATTTAAATCACAATATTCTTCAGTGAACATACCAAAGTCGAGTGGTGACCAAGTCGTGAGTCTAAGTTTGTACTTTCTTGAGCAGGTCGACGCATTCAAACTCGACCTTGTTGCGCTCCATTATTGTACTCGGGCTGTTCCACAATTGGGCGCAACCGATCGGCGATTTCGTACGATTCCGTAAGAACTGGTCCCCAAATAGAATGGCTGGCCCTGTGTCAGGGAAAAACGGCTGCAACTCGAGAAGCGCCTCAGGAAGTAGCTACGAGTGCGGGATCCCGACTTGAACGCGCAGTTACTGCTGGATTAAACACGGCAACTGGGACCCGGTCTTGGTTGTGCATAGTGAAGGCTGCAACCTGAACACGACGTTTCATGTGAAGGAAGAAGCAGCTAAAGTAGCTGAGAGAACAGAGCAAACTACTTACAGGGCAGAGTAGTTAGTTAAACACTTAAAAATCAATCAGATCTCATGTTACCTGCTAACCAGCAACCCAGTTGATAGAGTACTGCGAAGGTCTCTTGCCCGAGTCCCGTCCTCTGCCCAAGTGCTACCATATCATAGTGTGACGACACTGTTGTGATACCCTGGTCGATCACGACGAAGCTCATTGCACGCAACGTTTTCTCGATGGCGTGGCCACATCAGAGAGATGGCGACGTCAATGAAGCCTTTACCGCCTTCCACGATGTGGTTGCGACTGAGACCTTGCTCGCTCGCTTCTCTGATCTCTTGCCGAACGGACCTTCGGGAAATCCGTTGGAGCCGTAGAAGGTTTTGGTCGTGATTATCACGTCTTCACGACTCCAAGTGCCTTCAGCAATGGCCTTTGTGATGGCAGTACCCATGGTTGCCAGTTAATTATGAGTACCTTTCACTGACTCCTGAGTAAAGCGAATTAACCTTGTAATTCTGAGTCGACCTTGGAATTATGAGTAAACATTGATGGCTTGCAAGCATGTCTCTCTTGGGCTCTTGGTAAACTTCTCCTTGTGAGCAATGTTGCTTCTGCTTTGGAATCGCGCTAGACGGTGACGTGAGTATTGATTATTGCAATACATGTACTCGGATTAAACTATTTCGTCACGACGACTAAGTTGGACGCAACACAGAATCACGATGATGTCTAATGATGAGCCATGGCCCTCACTAGAACATGCCTTGCCTTCAAGGTCAGAAGTGTACTCAATCCTTAGCTCATTTACATGCGACCGCTTCGAGTGAAAGCTTGAGCTATATATATTTGTTTTCTCCACTTACCTTTACTGCAGATGTCGGTTTTCTTAAATTAGCCGATTTTGCACCCATTGAGCTAGCGATAGCGTTAAAAAACAAAAAAGGTAAAAAAAAAACCATTTTTATGTTTAGAAACGTAAAATGCATAACAAAATATTTTTCTTACCCTATTAAATATTGATATGATGTAGCTTCTTTAGTTACAGTCAATTTTGCTAATATCTTAGTATAACTGGATAACCGTATTAAAATGTATACAAATCATGTGAAGCAAAGTCGCGAAGTATCCTCCGGTATAACCAGGCACGGTGTGAAACGTTGATTCTGGGAGGTAACATTGTGGTATGATATTCGTGTGGATCAACTATACAGTGCACTCTGGACGAGGTTTCCAGTATCCATCCGTTTGAACATCCATTCTCCCTTTGTTGTGAAAATGCTGGCCCGAAGCGAAGCAAGTTTGTCTTTTCTGTAGAGTGATAATGAAAACACTTCAGCTTTGATACATCAGGAACACGTGATAGCCCAACATATAAATAAGTATGCTCGAGCCTCCATTCTGGGCATACGGGCGGCCTTCAAGTAAAAGGAGCACCCGTTTTAAAGTTGCTCATTGGGCTTTCCATACAGTCACCACGAACGCAAGATGCGTGCTGACAGTATTAAAAAAATTCTGGATGGGGGACGCATTTCGGGTCACCATACTCAACCCTAGATTAATTCGATTGTGTACAGAACAATCAAATCCTCATTTTTTTTTTATTAACTCATAGATAATCAATCGAATCCTCATGTTTTACTTTTCCATTAACTCGCTGTGTGGAATACATATTTTTGAGTGCACATATATCAGGTTACACGAATGTTGACCCGGTTGACGACAAGTTGGGCTTCCCTACCTCCCAGTAACAATATTTGTAAACAGAGGATTATTATTGCTTGCCAGTGAAGCGCCCCGCCCGAGATCTGGTCGAAATTGGAATATCATCTCCCCTGGATCATTGTGCAGTGATACAACACCACGCTTTGATAGCGGGTACGCACCACAGGTTGTACAGATTCCAAAAATAAACCGCCTTATCGCGTGTGAATTCTTGGCCACAACAGTATAACTTTAAACACGTCGTAAACAAAAGGCCGAAGACAATTAGCCGCGTCTCTAAGCGGTTCAGCACTTCCAGTTGAACCTAATCGAAACCCAGATGCACGATAAAATTTGGGTACGCTTCTTTTACGAAATGAAGTGTACTACAACACTGGCACAGTAAATCACCAGATCACCTGAGTTTTTATCGCACACGATTCCCTCCGAGATAAAATTACAGTGGATCATGGCATCATGCAAAGGATCAAACTACTTATAGTCTTCGTAGTAGGATATCCAGGTCAGCTTTGAGACAATTGCGAGTTCCCCCAAACGCGAAGAAATACTTCTTCAATGTTGGCTAAGCAAATAATTGATCATAGAAATAAGTACATTACCGAGCGTATTATGAATTTATTTAACGTTAGTCACACTGTCAATGTCAGTCTCTAATGGAGTGGCAGCTCTTTTTATGGACCTTCTTTCGAATTGCTGACAATCTTCGGCTGCCCGATTTCGCATTTTCGTCTCCTCACTTCTGCTGAATCGAGTTATCGTTTGTTCGGAATCTAGAACTTCCAGCGACACTGGCTTAGTCATCCTGCGATTTTTAGCGCGGATTTGACCCACTCTTTCCAACACAGAGATTGTCTTGCGAGCTCGCTTAGATGATCTTGGTGATTTTGTCATCATTTCCACGTCGAACTGTTCTAGGCCACGATGGAATGATAGTGTGACTGACGAATGATGAGGTGGCTTTGCAATAAAAAAACGCGCTGTATTATAATATTACGCGGAGTTCTATTCGTTATTATACGCTAAGTTGTAGCATTTCTTCGCTCAAACATACATTTGAATAGGAGCTTAGCTCTTTGAGCTGGGTTCAGTACGTTCGCTTCAGACTCGAAACGATTTACCGAGCCAGACTAAGTAAATATCAGATGTAAGGGTCGTACTTCCTTGCCTGAAAAGTAGACCACGTAGATTTGAGCGGGCACCAGAACTCTCATACTACTACACCTTTGCACTCAATTTGTAGAAAACGGCAGTCAAACTCGTAACTTAAAAATTGGCAAGTAGGAAAATTACGGTAGGAGACCCTTATCAGTATTCAATGTTGAAAAAACTGCATTAACCTCGTACAAGATTTGCTGCAATCTACCTCCATTGAAACGGACAACGGCTATTATTATAATAGCCAGTTTTTATATCGCTTTAAGGATGCGCTGTTTCTCGATGAGGGTGTGCGGCGTGATTCGGGAAGGCATCTTGGCGATAAATGGTAAGCTATCCAATGAACCAGATCTCCCTTCGTTCTGAGCGAGTTGTGCAAACCTCGGGCTTTGGCGCGAATCAAACAGAGCCTGAGGTTTTGGCGCGAATCAGTCGAGCAAATCTTGTACGAGGTTGATTGCAGCAAATCTTGTCCGAGGTTGATTACAGTCTTTCAACATTGTATACTGACTAGCTGAGTGCCGCCGCTACGCGGCGGGAAAGAATGAAAGTCGTTCCTTGTGTTTTGCCTCCGTTCCGCTCGCTACGGCTCGCTTCACTACTCGCATGGTAGGCTGGCAGATTGTGGCTCAGGCGGGCCCATAGGCCCGCAGGGTTGCAGAAGGTGTCGATTTGGGCCGCCTCGCTGCGCTCGGCAGCTTTTAGGCCAATCGGGGCCACCTTCGCTGCGCTCGGCAGCCAGTAGAAATATTTAAATTATTTTATCCAATGATTTGTCCGGAAAAGCGTGACAGGCACGACAATTTAGTGTGACGGACAGACAGGTTGCTGCAGTAGATGTTTAAGACTAGCCGTTCGCCGCCGCTACGCGGCGGAGTGGCATGGTTTGTTGGAGATGAGGTGGCCGCAAATATAGTGCTTCTTGGTGTCGCGTACTTTGTGGGCGTCGTTCAACCTAGTACGTCGTGGTTTCGTGTAGTCAACCACTTAACTATCGGTAATCTCATGTGGCTTTGTACAATATCGTGGTTTGGTACGTTTCCGTTACCCCGTACTACAGGTTGAATGTCGTGTTCTTCAATGGGCTGTGCTCTTCCGTGTTCTACTTGGTTTCGTGGCTCTCTGTTCACCCGTGGTCCACGCTGTTTGTGGATATGCGCTCTCTTTTGAGCTTATGCACTTTAGTACAGCCTCTTTCGTGGCTCCTAGCTATTCTCTGTTCTCAAACGTTTACGCGGGCTGTACCGCTTTCGTGATACATAGGCATTCGTGGCCGTTGGCCTCCCATCGCCGGTACTCTAACCAAAGGGTGCTATTCCGTGCTTTGGTGCCTCCATGCAGTCGTGTGGTTCCGTCGCCCGTGCATCGTGATCTCCTGATGAAGTGTCATCGACCGCGGTATCACGCTATCGTGCAATCGCGGTGTGGTTATGCTTTCTATGGTATTGTGCACGTGTAGTGCATCTGCGTTGTCCGTGTTATCGTGCTCTACGATGCCATCGTGCTCCACGGTGTGTAATCGTGGTCATACCAAGCCCACCCCTGTGCATTTGGTGGGCGGTCCGCAGTCCGTGCAATCGTGTTATCATGTACTGCTGTCCTCCGTGGCTCGGTAAGCTCAGGTTCTACACTGGTATGGTGCTCCGTGACTCGGTGATTTCGCGTGGCAGCGTGTTCTCCGATGGTTTAGTGGATAACCCACCGTCCATGCTGTCGTGTTATCTCTGGTGTCGGGGATGGGCTGTCGTCTGTCTTATCGTTAGCTACCGTAGTGTCGCGCTCCGTGGATCGGTGAGGTCATGTTCTACCTAGGCATCGTGCTCCAAAGATTGATGATTTCTGATTTCCCGTATCTGGCCTCCTGCGGGCTCAGGTTTGGTCGGTTGACTGTGCTCCATGTTTACCCGTGGTGTTGTTGGAGTATTGTTTCTGTGCACTCTCACCGATACGTGTTCTACCGTGGCTTCGAACGTCCGTGCTCTTCTGTAGCCCGTGCTTTTCAGCATGCTGGGGTGTCTATGTATTTAGTTTCCTTCCGTGGCCCGTACGTTCCTGTCATAATCTGTCCATATGTTCTTATCATGGCTGCGTGCTCTTTCATCTTTCATAAAACTTCGTGGTTTGCATCGGCTAAGTCTTCTATCATCGTACATCCTTCCGTGCTTCGTGTTGCTCTTCTATCCCATCGTCTACATAGTGTAGGTCGGTATTCCTTCGTGTTTCGTGTCCTTGCTTAGACATGTGCATCCGCGCCAGCTTAATCACAAACGCTGTTCCCATTTTGTTTGATGTACACAACGTATATTGTTTGATGTACACAACGTATATTGTTGGAAAGTTCACATAATATCTGAAGGTCGCACACTACGCGCGCAAATACAAAGGAAGACAATAGTTTATTACGGAGGTGCAGGGGTGTAAGCCACAATAGTCATATTTTAAAGTTTTCACATTATTAATAATAGTAATACAATTGTTATTTATTATTAAACGCTGATATAATTATTATGTGTACTACTACTACAAATGACTGCAAGCAAAAATATGAAATGCCTTGATAATAGTACTAAGAAAAATAATATTGTAAGTTAAATTAGTACAGCAGTACTACGAAGCCTAAAACATCATTCTAAACTCAATAAGCACTAAAGTTTCGATTGAGGCCAAAATATAAGTCACCAGGGCCTATATATTTTTTCTTTAGCTTCTACGACGATATAGTACGTGTTTGCTCATCGGCGCCTTTTAATTGTGCTAATTAACGCGTACACATGCAGCGCCCTTTGCGTGAGGTGGCGAACCGCAGCTGAAAATGAGAGCAAAATGAAATTTAAACGGTGCAGTTAAGTACGATGTGTAGTCCACATACAGTAAATACAGCACATAATATCTGTTTTAGCCAATGGGGGCCGCCTTCGCTGCGCTCGGCAGCTTTTTAGCGAATCGACGCCGCCTTCGCTGCGCTCGGCAGCCAGTAGAACGCCCGCATTTGCGTTACATTTTAGAACCCTACCCTCGGACGGACTGACAGACGGACGGACAACACACTCCACTAGAGAGGTAAAACTAGCCGTTCGCCGCCGCTACGCGGCGGATGTGGCAGGCTGTAGTCCCAGGGGAAATGGGCTCACGCCTTCGCTGCGCTCCGGCGTAAACATGTTTTATGTAAACGTTATGTACTAAATGCATATGAAATTGAACATTCCTACTCCGAACCAAAGATCTGCCTGTAGACAATGTTCTGGGCGTAGACCCCATCCTCCTCCTCCAGCTTTGGGTACTCGACCAGCGCCTTGAATCTTGATCTTGAAGTAACTCGCGACATCGCAACGTACAGCTGCCCGTGGGAGAAGCAAGGCGTAGCAAAAATACAGCCCCAAGTACTGCACCGTTTGTCCTTGCGCCTTGTTAATCGTCATCGCAAAGGCCGGTTGGACAGGAAACTGCTTGCGTCTCAAATGAAACGGAAAGCTCCGAATGTCTCCGTCACTGATGAAAACAATGCGGGGAATCAACACATGTTGCCCTTGTCGCTCACCGGTCATAATTGTGGCGTGGATGACATGTGGCTTGAGGGCCACAATTCGAAGCCGGGTTCCGTTGCACAGCCCTAGATCTGGATTCAGGTTCCGCATCATCATGATAGGCATTCCTACCTTCAGGGTCAATTTGTGGGGAGGCATTCCACTGATATTCATCGAGTGGAGTACCTCCTGCTCGAAGAAATTGCCGTCACCGTCGTCTTGTACAGAGTCGGAAGACATGTATTCCCGCGCCTGTCCAGTTAATCGATCGGTCACCGCTTCATTGATGCGGTGCACGATTGCGTTCGTGGTCGTGAGGATCGTTCGGTTAGCGAAATACTCGTCGGTAGCAACCTCGGGGTTATTAATCTCGCCATACATCTCGTCGATGATCCGATCCATGCCTCTTGGAATAACGCCCGGACGAATTTCCTGGTCCTCATCGTCAGGCACAGGTGGATTCTCAATCAGCATATCGCGCGGGATCTTCATGTAATCGTTTCCTAGGGAAGGGTTTACATCATGCCTTCCCTCCCCGACTTGCAGCAGGAACTCGGAGAACGCAGCCATTTCCTCAGCAGTGTCTGCAGTATCAGCTGTGCGCACTCGCATGTTTTCCGTAAGACGGAACGTCTGGAATTGGGGCCACAGCCTAGACGACTTGAGGCAAGCGTCAATTGTCTCGACGGGTGTTCCATTCTTAACGACCGGGAGAATCTGGCGGAAATCTCCCGAAAGTACAAACACTTTCCCCCCAAAAGGCTCGGTGTCGTTGTCAAGTATGTCCCGCAGTGTTCGGTCTACTGCCTCGAATGCGTGGCAATGGGCCATAGGTGCTTCGTCCCAAATAATTAAACTTGCATGCTTAATCAACTCCTGAATGTGGGAGTTCTTCCTGATACCGCACGTCGAGCTCTCGTTCAATTTCAAAGGGATCTTGAATGTAGAATGAGCTGTCCTACCACCCATGAGCAAGAGCGAGGCAATACCGCTAGACGCCACAGCGATGGCGATTTTCCCCGAGAGTCTGACTTTGGCCAGTATGTTTCGAAGCAGTGTAGATTTTCCAGTACCACCCGGGCCATCAACAAAAAATAGTTTCTTGCCTTCCTCCGGGCATTCAACCGCTTCAATAATCTGGTCGTAAACCACCCGCTGACTTTCGTTTAGCTGATCTTCTGTGTTTACAATCGCCTCCAAAGCTGACGCATCGTATCCAGTGAGCTCACGTCGAAGTAATCCGTTTTGGCGAAGCGCTTCACGAATCAATGTTGGGAACGACCCCAACTGAGGAAGCTCGTCGAAGTCAGCTACCGCATACCCACTCGCTTGAAGTAGTTCTTGAATGCTCATCAGCGTTTCAAATTCGACCAACGCCGACTTGAAGGGGTCCATCAAAGCCTGATGTTTGCGTGCGAAGTCTTGGGAAAGATCCGCGAAAAACCGATCCCATAGAACACCAACATTTGCTGGAGCTGAATACACCAGAATGGTGACGAAGAGCTGGCGTAGTTGATACGGCATTTGGAACTCAGCCGCTTTCGTCAAACACGAAACCCACTCCTCGTCATTCTCCAAGTAGCCAGCCTCCCGCGCCGCAATTTGGAATGTTGGGCAGACAATTCCGTTAACCGTTCTCAAGTCTTCAAACGACGTTGGACCTCTACGCTGACTGAGCAGTAGCCGAAGGTAGAAACGCTCCATATCTCGAGGAGACACGTGAATCATGCGACCAACAGCAGCTTGATACTGTTTCCGGCGAACCCACCTTTTCAGTTGCCCTTTCTCCGGCGCTTTCCAGCAGAACTCTTTGGGGATATCCTGATACAACATCGTCCTGGCAATATGATTCTGAGGCTCTTCACTCGCACACAACTCAAAGAATCTGGTCAGCTTCGTGTGACTACCACGTTCCAAAACCGCCTCCGGGTTTTCCGTCTCGCGAAAGCAAATTGTCTGGCCTCTGACTCGAGATGAACCGTCAGCTGTGTCACCGCATGGGTTTTCCCCTGAATTGTGAAATCGAGCAGGCGCATGCAAGCTTCCACCGGAGAAATGTACCGGGCGCTCAAGAAACGTAGAATCTCATTTGGTTCTCGACGCGCACTCTGCTGCCCTCCTCGGACCTCTTCCACAGTGAGTATAGCCATGTCGGGTCCTTTGTACACATACTTGTACAGGTATTTAACCGCAGTAATATCCGTGCACACTTCGACATTGATGTGGCAGTTGTACTTCTGGGATAAGTA